GTGTATTTTGTTGTACAGTTATTTTATTTTCAACTTTAATTTATATATTTTATCTTATTCTTTCCCAGTTAAATTTACCCTTCATTCTAATTTGTGTTGTACAGTTATTTCATTTTTTATATTTTATATTCTTATATTTTATTCCTTCCTAGCAGTGTTGGTCAAGTTACTTGAGGAAAGTAATCAGTAACTAATTACTGATTACTTCCCCAAAAAGTAATCCCGTTACTTTTCTGATTACTTATTTTTAAAAGTAATTAATTACTTAGTTACTTAGTTACTTTTTAAAAACACGATTTACAACCTGAAGAGGTGATAAAGCGATAGATCTTTCAGCCCAATTCTACTTTTTCTGCATAATCCATCATACAAAATGTAATCAAATGGAAAAGTCTCTTTTTTTAAACTTGTTTTATCAGTTTTAATCTTTTAACTTTATGCATCAAGCAAAAATTTAATTATATGCAACATTCTGATTTGAATAAATTAGTTTAACATTTAAACCTATTTTCTACACATTCCAGCACATAAAATAAAATATTTTTTGTGTTTACACTCACTCTTTCAAATAGATGCAAGTAAAACACAGCAGAAAATAAATAAAGACTCAGCGGTCCTGTTGCTCTATTTTCACCTGTAAAGCAGGACTGTGGTAGGCGGAGGTTTACTCTGGTGCAGGTGTGCCGCGGTCAGTTGAAGAATCCGCGAGATTCTCTGTGAGTTTCCCATTACGTGGTAGCGCACTCGGTGCTTGTTTGGAAGTTTAGGGGTTTTTTTTCGTTGTAAAAAGTTTTCCTCCCACGCACAACGGACACTAATGTTTTTGTCAATTTTATGGAGTCAAACTCAAAATAAGGTCAGTACTTTCACGCTTTAAACGCTGCATGCTCATACTCTCTCCCACAATTGATATATGATCCACTGTTGATCTGCACACAGCTGTTGCCACTAACAGCGCACTCGCTTACGTCACTGTCATGAGACATTCTCGCAAAAAAATCACGGTTTTAGTAACGCAGTAACGCAGCGTTCCTACGGGAAAGTAACGGTAATCTAATTACCGATTTTGCAATAGTAATCCCTTACTTTACTCGTTACTTGAAAAAAGTAATCAGATTACAGTAACGCGTTACTGCCCATCTCTGCTTCCTAGTTAAATTTACACTTTTTAATTTCCATCCATCCATCCATCTTCATCCGCTTGGTCCGGGGCCGGGTCGCAGGGGCAGCAGCCTAAGCAAAGAGGCCCAGACCTCCCTCTCCCCAGCCACCTCCTCCAGCTTATCCGGGGGAATACCAAGGCGTTCCCAGGCCAGCTGAGAGATATAATCTCTCCAGCGTGTCCTGGGTCTGCCCCGGGGCCTCCTCCCGGTGGGACATGCCTGGAACACCTCACCCAGGAGGCGCCCAGGGGGCATCCTTGTCAGATGCCCGAACCACCTCAGCTGGCTCCTTTCGATGTGGAGCAGCAGCTGCTCTACTCTGAGCCCCTCCCGGATGGCCGAACTTCTTACCCTATCTCTAAGGGAGAGGCCAGCCACCCTTCGGAGGAAGCTCATTTCTGCCGCTTGTATCCGCGATCTCGTTCTTTCGGTCACTACCCACAGCTCGTGGCCATAGGTGAGGGTAGGGACGTAGATCGACCGGTAAATTGAGAGCTTCGCTTTTATACTCAGCTCCCTCTTCACCATGACGGACCGGTGCAGCGTCCGCATTACTGCAGCTGCAGCCCCAATCCGTCTGTCGATCTCCGGCTCCCTTCTCCCATCACTCGCGAACAAGACCCCGAGATACTTGAACTCCTCCACTTGGGGCAGGAACTCATCCCCGACCCGGAGTGGGCACTCCACCCTTTTCCGGCTGAGAACCATGGCCTCGGATTTGGAGGTGCTGATCCTCATTCCCGCTGCTTCACACTCGGCTGCGAACCGTTCCAGTGCGAGCTGGAGGCCCTCACCCGATGAAGCCAACAGAACCACATCATCTGCAAAAATCAGAGATGAGATTCTGAGGCCACCAAAGTGAAAGCCCTCCGCCACTTGGCTGCGCCTAGAAATCCTGTCCATAAAAATTATGAACAGAACCGGAGACAAAGGGCAGCCCTGGCGGAGCCCATCACCCACCAGGAACGAGTCCGACTTATTGCCGGCAATGCGAACCAAGCTCTTGCAACAGTTGTATAGGGATCGAATGGCCCGTAGCAATGGGCCAGACACCCCATATTCCCGCAACACCTCCCACAGGACACCCCGAGGGACACGGTCGAATGCCTTCTCCAAGTCCACAAAACACATGTAGACTGGTTGGGCAAACTCCCATGCACCCTCAAGTATCCTGGAGAGGATAAAGAGCTGGTCCAGTGTTCCGCGACCAGGATGAAAACCGCATTGTTCCTCCTGTATCCGAGGTTCGACTAACGGACGAACTCTCCTTTCCAGCACCCTGGCATAGACTTTCCCAGGGAGGCTGAGGAGTGTGATCCCCCTGTAGTTGGAACACACCCTCCGGTCCCCTTTCTTAAAGATGGGGACCACCACCCCGGTCTGCCAGTCCACAGGTACTGCCCCTGATCTCCACGCAACATTGCAGAGGCGTGTCAACCAGGACAGCCCTACAACGTCCAGAGCCTTCAGGAACTCGGGGCGGACCTCATCAACACCAGGGGCTCTGCCACCAAGGAGTTGTTTAACTGCCTCAGTGACCTCGCCCCCGGAAATTGGCGGGTCATTCCCCTCATCCCCAGACTCTGCTTCCTCCTCGGAAGACGTGTCAGTGGGATTAAGGAGGTCCTCGAAGTATTCCTTCCACCGCCTGACAATTTTCTCAGTCGACGTCAGCAGCGCTCTGCCAGCACTATACACAGTGCAGGTAGAGCACCGCTTTCCCCTCCTGAGACGTCTGACGGTTTGCCAGAATCTCTTCGAGGCAGTCCGAAAGTCTTTTTCCATGGCCTCTCCGAACTCCTCCCACACCTGAGTTTTTGCTTCAGCCACTGCCCGAGCCGCATTCCGCTTGGCCTGTCGATACCTGTCGGCTGCCTCCGGAGTCCCACAGGCTAACCAAGCCCGATAGGACTCCTTCTTCAGCCTGGTGGCTCCCTTCACCTCTGGTGTCCACCATTTGGTTCGGGGATTACCACCACGGCAGGCACCAACCACCTTGCGGCCGCAGCTCAATGCAGCAGCTTCGGCAATGGAGACGCTGAACATGGTCCATTCGGACTCAATGTCCCCAGTCTCCCTCGGAATGCTGTTGAAGCTCTGCCGGAGGTGTGCGTTGAAGATCTCGCGGACTGGGGCCTCTGCTAGACGTTCCCAGCACACCCTCACTACGCGTTTAGGTGCACCAGGTCTGTCCAGCGTCTTCCCCCACCACCTGATCCAACTCACCACCAGGTGGTGATCAGTTGACAGCTCAGCCCCTCTCTTTACCCGAGTGTCCAGAACATATGGTCGCAGATCTGCTGATACGATTACAAAATCGATCATTGACCTACGGCCTAGAGCGTCCTGGTGCCACGTGCACTTATGGACACTCTTATGTTCGAACAGGGTGTTCGTTATGGCCAAACTGTGATTAGCACAGAAGTCCAATAACAGAGCACCGCTCGGGTTCAGATCAGGGAGGCCGTTCCTCCCAATCACGCCCCTCCAGGTCTCGCTGTCGTTACCCACGTGAGCATTGAAGTCTCCCAGCAGGACAACAGAGTCTCCAGGTGGAGCACCCTCCAGCACCCCCCCCAGGGACTCTAAGAAGGCTGGGTACTCTGAACTGCCACTCGGCGCATAAGCGCAGATGACAGTCAGGACCCGTTCCCCGACCCTAAGGCGCAGGGAACAAACCCTCTCGTCCACCGGGAAAAACCCCAACGTACCGGCAGCAAGCCGAGGGGATATTAGGATACCCACCCCTGCCTGCCGCCTCTCACCAGGGGCAACTCCAGACTGAGACAGAGTCCAGCCCCTCTCCAGGAGACTGGTTCCAGAGCCCAAGCCATGTGTAGAGGTGAGCCCGACTATATCTAGCCGGTACCTCTCAACCTCACGCACTAACTCAGGCTCCTTCCCCACCAGAGAGGTGACATTCCATGTCCCTATTGCCAGTCTTGGCAGCCGGGGGTCAGTCCTCCAGGGCCTCCGCTCCTGGCCGCCACTCGGCACACAATGCACCCGACCCCTATGGCGCCTCCTGCGGGTGGTGGGCCTGCGGGAGGATGGGCCCATGTCTCCTCTTCGGGCTGTGCCCGGCCGGGCCCCATGGACTAAGGCCCGGCCACCAGACGCTCGCCCTCGGGCACCCTCCCCGGGCCTGGCTCCAGGGCGGGGCCCCGGTAACCCTATCCCGGGCAGGGTAAACTGTTCCCTCGGTGTCCTTTTCATAAGGGTCTTATGAATCGCTCTTTGTCTGGTCCCTCACCCAGGGCCAATTTGCCATGGAAGACCCTACCAGGGGGCAAAAGCCCCCAGACAACATAGCCCCTGGGATCCCTGTGACACACAAACCCTTCCACCACGATAAGGTAGCGATTCAAGGATTCAACTTTTTAATTTTTCATATTTATTTCCTATCTTATTCATAGCCCTTTACTTTTTTTTTCTTTAGGTCACGAGCAGTTGTCTAAGCATTTCACTACATATCGTACTGTGTATGACTGTGTACGTGACAAATAAAAATTTGAATTTGAAACGATTTTCTCTTTGTGATGCTGACAATCAGTCACTAATGGATACTCCAGGCTCTGATCGTCTAGGTAACCCTCTGATGGAGTTATCACCGTGCAATGTGTCAAGCAGTGGCATCCTTCACGCTCACTGGCAGCTGCTTCAGAGAAAAGTTTAACTTCACACCGGCAGCTGTGATTTCACCCGTTAAAGTCGCCTAATGTCGTTGACTTTTTGTCTGTGGCCGCCACGCCACTGAAAATATTGCTTCCTGCGTGGACGCCCCTTTAGGCTTGCCGCTGTAATGAAATAACACAACTCTGAATTCTCTGGGCAGGAATTAACATATTTATTACACCGTAAAGAACAACAATACCAGAATTATACTGCAAAGTTTCACAGACTGACAGACCATAGTTTACAGCCCAAAAAAAGAAAAGAATTAAAATTAAGAAACAAAAAAAAGAAATAAAATCAACAAGAAACCACAGTTCTGACATAGTAGACTGGAAAGCTCTCTAGAGGACACTGACAGTAAGCGATGGAAAGACCGCTTAGCGTCAGCCTACCACTAACCTGTGGTTTTCATGTCTTAATTAAGTATTGCACAACAACTTCAAATTATTTGAGCTCTGTTTTTTTTCACAATAAATTTTCTCAAGAGAATGGAAAAACCCTCCCACCCCTGAAGTTCAACTCCTTCCCCCCCAAATTAATGCTACGGCCTTGCTGTTTGCTGTCGGCCCCTCCATTTCCCTATTGTTTCATGTTAAGTAGGAAATTTAAATAACGTTTCCCCCCATTGTGAAAAACAGGCATGCCTAAACTCATAGCCTCAATTTTTTTTTCTTTTCCAAGATTGACCTTTTGTATATCCCCCAGCTGACAAATCGACAAGCACTTCTGCATGTCTTAACAACAGAGAAAAAAACAATATAAAAAGAGGAGAAAAGGCGGTGGGGAAACAGGGAAGAAAAAAGAGCAAGAGAAACATTTCTTATCTGTGACCTTAGCTTGTGCCGTCGAGATGGGAATCGACAACACTTTTCTTTAAAATTAGCACAATTTTCTCAAATCTGTTCAAACAATTCAAACTCTTGATGTACTCTAGAAATGCCACAGGCATAAAGGAACATAACAAAAGTTTTTTTTTCTGTTTTTTTTTTCTCATTTCTATTTAGGTTTCATTTATTTATGAGGTCTGCATTGTTACCAAGTAGTGATATGGTTTTGCAGCTGTATGAGCTTCGACTTTGGGTTTTATATTTTCCTGTTCTCTTGTGCCCATTTGGTTTCGACTAGACCAGTATCAGCGCCGTGACTGATGCTCTTATCGTGCTGTAAGAGGTAGAGTGAGACTTGTTTGCCACCGAGGAATTTGTAGCAAAACACACATAGAGGAGGGAAAAAAAATAAAATAAAATAACAATAACGCTTCTCAAAGCATCATTGAATGATCGTGTTTCCTAACTTTTTTTTCTCTTTTTTTTCTTTTTAAACCCAGATTTTGCCCTGAAAATTATGAACACATACATTATTTGTTGTATACCTTTAAATACACTAGTGTTAAAACAGCTTGGCTGTTTCTTCACAGCTTCTGAGAATTCGCTAGTAGGGTGTCAGACACCTTTTTGGATTGTTTAACCCTTTAAAGTCAAGAATGCAAGTGTATGTTGTAGTTAGACAAGGAGGGAGAGATGAGGAAGTACAGAGGGAGCAAACTGCCCCGAAACCTTTGTGGGCCTCCACTTGTTCCTTGAGGTCAGAATTTGTAACGCGCTTCTGTGTAGCACCAAGGTGTTTGGGGTGAGTGTCGGGGTAAGTGCTCTCTTACTGCGATTGAGAGGTTTGTCTGATTTACGCTAAAGGTTTTCGACAAAATTGCGATGGATTAACCCAAATGATATAAATAAATAAATACAGTACAATGGCGTTGGTGTGAAAGCCCAGTCTCACATTTACCTCTGCGAATCAAAAACTTAACTGCTTAAAGCTGAAATGGGCACTGAATCTGACAGTTGTGTAATGAAAAAATGTGTAAAAAAAAAAAAAAGGAAAGAAATCTCGAGAATCGCTTCAAAAATGGTTTCAGAAGTTGCGTTTGTGTCACATTAGCTATTATTGCTGCAGTTAAAGTGTATCTCCGCTCTGCACGCTCATCGGGGTCAATTCACACCTTCTTATTCCACAATGTGAGACGAGTGCTCGTGGTTTCCAGAATACGGTAAAGATAAATGAATCCTTTTTCTTTTTGTTCATGGAAATATGAACAAAAGCTGGAGAAACGAATGCCTGAATGTCTGAGTGGACAAACCTCTTTTCAAAAATCGTTTAAATCAGGATTTTGGTCCTTGGTGTCAGTCTTTGGCTGTTTTTGGTGTTTTTATGTTTAACTCTTGTGTTAATACTGCGTGTTACCTGGTGCTTTGCAGTGTTAAAGCTGTCAATCGGAGTCTACACCTCTGCATTTGGAAAGTTAGTTTGTTAGAATATTTTTTTTGTATTGTTTTTTAAAAATTATTATTATAATTTTTTTGGTTGTTTTTTCAGTTTTTTCTAAAAAATAACAAATATTTAACAAACGTTCAGTAATGTGCATGCACTGTTGTAACTATTTAAACAACAACAACGGAAAAAAAAGACGTAATGGCTGCTCTTCTTAGCACGCAGAGTAAAAAAAAACAAAACTGAAAAAAAGAGAAAAAGAAAAACGGAATGGGTTTGGTGGTTTACGTTTTTCCATCTCCTCCCATCCAGAGAAAGTGAGAATAGAAGATGCTAATACTACATACAAAATGACTTGATGAGTTATGGCTCTATACCGACAACACAAGTATGCTGAAAAGAAGCATGCCGAGATAACCTCTGTGACAGTGCAAATACATTTATGTATGTCCCTTTTACAAAACATTTAGGTTAGCATTCCGCGCAACATGCTAGTTCTCAGAAAAGATCTGGGTCGGACTCAAGTAGCAGCTCTGAGATATAGCTTGTGTCTTTTCTTGAGGACGTAGGGAAGGAAAACTTATAGAACTACAAGGAATCTACCACTTATACACAGAATAGAAAAGAAGCAGCTTGGGGAAGAAAAAAAAGAAAAGATAACACTTCTTTTTTTTTTTTTATCTCTTTTTGCACCAGCTAGAGAGAAAGAGTTATGAAGGACTTAGAGTTGTGACTGGTTGAAGTACTATGCATTGTCACAATTGTCCAACACATATACAATAAATAACCATTGGTGACACCACAGGACAGAAGTCTTAAACACCATGACATCTACAGAAAACGAGTAAGAATGTGAAGAAAGATGAAAAATGTTGTCAGAGTCGAGATAGGAGGGGAGGTTGTCTGGGGCGAGTCTATGTTTCCCGAGCCTGCTGTCGAGGTCATTTGACAGTCTTGCCAGTGGGTTGATGACTTCACTTCCTGTTTGAGAGCGTCTGTGACCCACCGAGCGATCGAGTTGTATTTGGTCCGTCCTCCAAGTGTGCAAGGTTTTTGTATCTTATCCAAGAATTCTTCCTTTTACATCAGAGAAATGGATTTGTATTTCCCAGACCACTGACCTGGATATTATTACAAGTGAGAGGGAAATAACATCAGTTGAACAGCTGGCAATCTGCTGCACATCTGCCCGTTTCGTGGCGGTCTGTGGGCCGGAGATTCAGTCCATCCCCTCTCCCCTCTCCAGGCAGCAAACATGCTTATTCATCCTTTTGTGTGTCTTTCAGGATTTTTAAATCTAATATCTCTCTTATCCCAAAGTTTTCTCTGAGACAGTTACATTCCCCGTGATATGCTGTTTGATAAATGTCTGAGGTTGACTAGTCTCGTGTACAGGAAGGAAATAACCACTGACTCCAGGATGAAAAATAAAAACATTTGAAAAGGGCAGGTCAGATATACTTGTCTTGAGTTCACGGCTATCTCTGATCAGTCTCTTCATATTTACAGGGGAAAATAAGATAAGCTACAATGACGACAACTTTAACAACAACAGGTACAAGGACAAACAGTCAACAAGAATAGCAAGTGTAACAGTAAAAGAATGTCAACTTTTAAATTCATTCATTCAAAACAAAGAATATCTTTGTGTTTCTTTAAAGTCATGGCAAGTCAATATGACCTGATTATGGACTTCCTCCTTCTATGACTACGCTGCAAGATAGAAGTATTGCCGTCTCATTCTAGTATCTAAGCATCTTTGCAGGGCAATGTAGACAGCCACGGTAGTTGTCGGGTTGTGGGCTGGCTGTTACACCTGGGAAGCCTTTGCCTCCTACCTCTGTGTGAGTTTCTTAGCGTGGTGTGCCATCAAGGGCAGAGGAGGACGGGGTGCTAGGGGTGGATGAGCGAGGGGTGGCAGCAGGGGGGGTAGCAGCCGGACTCCCGGTCCCGCTGCTTGGGGTGCAAGCGGAGGAGCTGATGGGAGCGGGGGTCTCTGAACCCGGAACCCCTCCCTGCTGCTGGCTGGCCTGCTGCTGCTGCTGAGCCTGCAGGGTCTGACCGCACACATGGTGATGCTTCTCCCAGTCTTTATGCTGGCAGAAGGAGCCGCAGTAGCGTGCCGTGTTGCAGCCGCTACATGTCTCACTGGCCTTGCGTCCGCAGTTCCAGCAGCTCTGACGGACAGAAAGAGACAAAGTCAAATAACTCCAAAAAGTAGCAGTCAGACAAAAACCAATTTGTAATGGTTTAATGCTCTTTTCACATGAAAATCTAATCACACATTGTAACCAAAAGTAAAGAAAATTCCACATTAAACTGGGAACTGGCAAATACAACGTGAAGATTAGCAGCAGAAAGTGGTACACCACACAGGATACCATGAAAGAAGCCTCTACTTCTATGCTTGGCGCTTAAGCCTGACCCAAACCACAGACAGATAAAAAAAAAATCTCTTGTTACACTTAGAGCCACTTATATATCTTGGAAACCGCAAGGAGAGCATGTCAGGGCGCCTGCATAGCCAGAGGAAAGAGGAGAACAAAGTTATAAACAACCTCTGAAAGTTCTCCTCTGGGGCGCTTCTCTGTTACAAACATCGCTCCTGCAATTAATGTCACATGAACGGCAGAGTTCCCTCTCAGTTAAATGATTAAACTTTCAGGTCTCTAATGGAGATTACCAAATGCTTTTACTTATTTCCTCTCAGCTCAAATGGTAGCACCCTTCCAAGCACTGTAAAGTAGCTACTCGGGGGTAATAGGTGCTTGATTATCCTTGCCTTACTTCATTTTGCTCTTCCATATGCACTAACACATAAGGGGTGGATAATCAGGTTTTACAAAAATGTGCACTATGTAATATTTTTTCTAAAATAGTAATAAAAAACCCACAGCATCTGTATAATCCACCACAGCTTGCATCAAAAGCCAGACACAAAAAGACGATAATGACACTGATGATGAAAGACTGAGAATGTGTACATTCGCTTCTACCTCGCTGGAATCCTCCTGCTGGTTGATTATGGAGAGCGCCTCTTCGGCTGCCTGGCGCTTGGCTTCGGCCACTGTTCGCTCCATCTTGGCCCGCTCGCTGCTGATCATTTCGTGAGCCTTGCGCTCGGCCTCTGACACGGCTTTCTGCAGCTCTGACATGGCCTGCCGCTTCACCTCATTCACAGCCTCTTCTGGAAAGAGTGTGGAGACAGAGGAAGTCAAGCCTCCCGTACCTGCAATGTAGCGCGTGCATTTTTCACTGGACTGTATTTTCAGTACGAGTACACCATCGTTTTTTAAACAGGAATAACATACTCGCTGCTGCTGATTCCAAATTGCTATATGCCATTCTAAACAACCCTTTAGCATATTCACAGTCTCATTGTGCTTGTTTGTGTCTCTGTCAGGTTTTCGTTCTGCTCTCCAGTCGTTCATCCCATCTACTTAGGAGAGAGCAGTGCTGAGTCTGAAGTTGCGTGGATGAGCAGTTTTCATATTCTGGCTAGAAGCTTTTTTTTTTTCCTGTTATGCTTTCAGTCAGATGCTCAGCTTCTGAGGCAGCAAGACAGGCAACTGCAAGAGACCCATAAGGGCTGACTCCACAGCAATATCTCAAAATGTGGCAACAGCAGAGACTGCAACTCACTCCCACTTTAACAACCAATGGGAGTCTGCAAAACATCTCAGTAGAAAACCTCTCTTGCGCTCTCTCCTAGCTAAAGCGCGTTCAATGAGCTGCAGGCTGAGCTCGTCTTGATGTGTGTTTAAGTCCGCAGCACGTGCTAAACTCAACTGCACACAAATGTTTTCGCTACTCAGCTCTCCTGCTGTCTGTATTTATTTATGGGAGAATCAAACAAAGCAACAAATTACAACAAAAAAAAAATATTTCTCCAACTACAGATGAATTCAATTACTCCATCAGTCCAAACATGCATGTTTTAAATGCACACTATGTCTAAACTTGCATCACTGTTTTAACACATCTAGAAGATGCAAACTAGAAAACAAAATCTGCAATGGATTATTTCACACGGCAAAGAAAACTACTTTAACTATTCATGTTTATTTTATATTTCAAGGCCAACTTTCAGCTTAGAATATTTAATATTAGTATTTTATCATTTATTTAATATCTGACAAGATTTAAGAGCACATCAAGTCTAAATGTTGTAGGCTGACAGGATAACGGGGACACTCGTCAGCTGATTTAATTAAACTATTACGATTTCGTTCAAACACTGATTAATTTCTTTTTAAGAACCTTTTAAATGTCTAAATAGGCATATTTACATCAGTGTGTGACATATTAATGTAAAGTTCAATGTTCCTGGAAGATCTTGATCTTATATATTATAATTTGGAAAAGAATATCCCGAGGATATTCTCACGAGAACACGAGCTGATTAATCGCAGGTAATCACTCACAAAACGTGCTTTTCAGCCGGAGCAATATGTTATTTTATCCTTGTTTTGAGGAATGAATAACCTTCCGCGTGGGTGTTAAGCGGTGGAATTCCTACAGAACGTCAAAGCAAAAGGAGGGCTTTTTTGTTTGCTCCCATCAAGCCTGTAACTTGACTAATTGTGTATGCAAATCAGGCAATTTATATTTAAATTATGCATTTCCATTGTGATCCCAGAGGCCCATGTGGTGAGGGGAAGTGGGAAACCGGTAGGACACCGTGCAAGGTGCTTGAATATTTATCACCAACTGTAAACATTTTGCCCATTTCAAACAGACGTATTCGCCGCTGCACTCCATTGTGTTAAAAATCCTATTTTGCAATCCTCCCCGGGTCACATTTAAATCAGTCTCTCCTAAGCCAGAATATGAATGAAATGGATAACGGAAAATACTGAGGATAAGGCAAATAGAGTGAAAAGTAAGAGGCACCTTTTATCTGACAGACAAAAGATAAAATACAGCTTTATGCCTGACAAATATGCTTCACTTTCTTAGTACATATTACACCGGCGTTAAAAATGTAAAATCTGTTTTCGATATCAGACCGACTGCATGCTTTTATAAAGACAGAAACATTTTCTCTCCACTGTGATTGAGGCGAGTTTTTAAACCAGGGTGCTTTTGTCTTTAACCTACTATGCTGCTTGAAGTCATGGAAATTGCCCCGGTGCCTTGTGATATATGCCTTGTGCATGGAATTGTGATTACACACCAAATGCCTTAGATGGAAGATCGATCAAAGCTGGTGAGGGGAAAGAGAGTACTGGAGAGGAGGCAGAGTCCCGATGGTGATACTCAGTTCAATTTAAATGCATATTACTTGTTCTGAGTATCTCACACATCATGCTTGGTCAAGCAAGGGGACAATTTCTTTTCTCCAGGGGGTTTAAAAGGCAGATATACTGTATCACTGGTGGAGAATACAAAATCTCAAAGAGTGAACCCTCAGGTTTTCAGAGTGATAACAGTGACACAATGCTGTTTGTATAAGCTATAAAAAAATGAATGCAAGTGCTGATTTTACTCGGGTTATTAAAACATTAAGGAGTTTCTAAACTGTTAAGTAGGATAGCTGCAGTGTCTCTCATTAAGGGGATAAAAAAAGTGCCAAAAGCAAATTGAAACCAAATCTTGCCACTTTTGACAGGAGACCACTGGGCCAGCTGTAAAAGCTCCTTATGTCCCTTATTTGACTGCAATAAAATCCTTGTAAGGCCTGACATCATATTCTGAGTGTGCAGTGCGTAGTGATGAAACTTCCTACAGAATCAGATATAGATAACCTGACTTTAATGCAAATCTAGCAAGGTTTTGTGTTGCAGACAATAGACTACACTGAGATGAAAAGGGGAGAGAGCAGGTTTAAAGGAGCCTTTCTCGTTCATCTACCTAAACATGGCCTCGAGTTCCATAAAGCATAAAGCCTTCAGACAGATTAGAGGAAAAATAGAGGAACTGTGTTTACGTGCACTGATCAGAGGCATGGGAGTGCTGCTCACCAGCTTTTTTCCAGATCTCTTCAGGGACGTAGCCAGAGACAGGCCGGTGCAGGAGCTCCCGGTGAATTTCTGGAAAGACACAAACATACAGACGTGGTAACCAGAGATCCATCAATGGCATAGTACACAAAACTGTGTGTGTGTGTGTTAACATTTTGGCTTTTTTTCTATGTTCCAAAGGACTTTTTGAGACCAGTGCAATGAAACTGACTTATTATCAGCCAGTGTACACATATTTAATGTAAAAATAGGGGGCCTAGATTTGAACTCTGGGGGACTCCACACGCAATATTATTAATTCATAAAATACAACAAAGATCTTACAGCTAATAATAATTAATTTTGGACTCATTTTAGATTTGAGCTTCTTTAATAGTGGTTTAAAAACTTCCGAGCCTTAAGCCTCGGATATATTCCATTGCAGACAGGGACAGCTGGAGACCCAACAGTCATTTCTGTTTTACTTCTTTGAAGTCTCCTGGCTGGGCACATGCCTAGTTGGCACATTGTCATATAAATTCTCCACAGATAAGTCTGTGTGGTCACAAAAACAGGCAGGCACATGGAGGTCTGCACAAACCCTCTCAGAAGGTTGCAGAGTATAATCCTTGCTTTAAGAGACCTAACAGACTGCAAGGTAATGCACATCAGCTGACACCTTTAGAGTCTGTATTTAATATAGATACCTTTAAAGAACAATTAAAGTTGCACAGATTACACCAAAAAACTGAAAATCAGTAGTCTTAAAAGATGAACAACAAGCTTAAAACCGGCAGACATGCATATTAATTATAATTTAACAATAATACTTCGGGCATGTAAGTGAATCCATACCTGAAGTTGTGTTTTCTTGTGCTGCAGGGCTCTGCTGCCTTGACTGCCCGCTAACAGCGCCTTTCTTCTGCTCCTCGGCATCGCTGTATCGTCGGATCCAGTAGTTGAGCTCCTCACGGTCAGCCTCCTGGCACCGCCGCAGTACCGTCAGTGAGCGCCTTGTTTTTTCCACCATGTCCATGATGCAGTTGAGCAGCTGGAGGTGACAGGGAGCAGACACAGCGCTGAGTTTACACATAGACAGGATGAATGGGCTGGTTTGAATTCAAAGAAGGTGTCTTTGTCAAGGGTAGGGTTCGTCACATACATGTAATTTCAAACATCGTTTTGACTGAGCTCATAAAGAAACTTAAAAGCATCCAAACTTTAATAAAGACTCGCCACAAGATCTGCTAGATAACAATTTCATACGAACTGATACTCAGAGAACTTACAAAGACAAAACTGTAGAGTATAGTAATAAAATTGTTATTACTTTTCTTACATGGTCAAGGTGCTTCCACTCCTCAGCCCATTCTCTGTCTGTCAGCCTGTGGTCAATCACTTCCTCCTGCCTGGTACCTGCATGCATACCTGCAAGAATGAAAGATAGACAGATAAGCAAACAGCAACTCAGCATGACACAATCAATTACTCCATCAAGCCTTTGCTCCCCTTTTCATTTGAATTCAGTTTGGCACTCTTTCTCTATTCATTTCTTTTCCCTGCTCCCACACTCCCCCTTTTCTCTGCTATCTCCATATCGCTCTCCCACCCCGAGGGCAGGACTCAGATGACTGAGCTTCTCCTCCAGTAAACATCCATCACAAGGTGAGACATGCTAAATGTGTCTCCTATTTTTAAAATAGAGCCCAAGTCATTATCACAGCTTCATCAAGGCCAGCTTTATGCAAAAAGAAAAAAGGATCTAATATGATGATCTCACATCTAAATGTGCGTCTGCGGAGTGTTAATGTATCTCACTTTTTATGACGTCTGTGGCTTCTGAGTCTCACTGATTATAATGATAATCTGATTGATTATTGTAATAGTTATTCATCTCAGTGGACTATAAAGATATGAGAAACCGGTGAAATGTATGTAAAGTGATCTTGTGCTCTGAGATATACAGTCGTGTACACAAATGTAATCCTCAGTATCCTCACCAATGGGCCTTGCTCTCTCCCGGATCTCTCGGTGATTAGACGCCGGGTGTCTGTAGGTGTCGCGGTAGTGATGGGCAATGGCCATGTCGTCTAGCCTGTAGTGCTGTGGAGGGAGTGGGCCTGGGTGAGGCAGACCATTGGGTTGGTAGGAGAGTCCATTGGATGGGCTGAAACGCTGGGCAGGACTTATAGTGCAGGGCCGTTTGCTGGGGTGAACGTCCGGATGCAGAGCGCTGTCTCGTTCAAAGCCGTTCTCTTTGGTTCTGAGTGGAGATGCAGACAAATGAGTAATGTGGCTGTCGTTGTTGCTTAGACTCTTTCAAACAGTGACGTGGGATAATTTCCTTATTTAATAAGGTCGTAATTTTTTTCTTAGTTTCTTTTTTTTTTTAAGTACCGGCAGCATTTTTCACTTGTTTTAATATTTTAGACAGAATACAGGGCCAAAGCTGGCATAAATCTTTGCTGTTATTACCAAGCTCGAACAATTTCTAGTGACAGCTCTGCAGATAACAAAAGGCTTCCTGAGGTGCATTGGATTGGGAAAAAAGGAAATAAAAGAGAGGAGAGCGGACGACACAGGAACAAATCAGTGTGATATTTACATCACACCTATTTTGTAAAAATAAGTGATACAAAATGTGTTTGTTACAGTTATTTCATACAAGAGCCAGACCTGAAGCATATCAGTACAACAACTGGTCCGCCCCCTTGTGCTGTTGGAAATATTTGAGTCCAACCTACCAGACAAAGCACTTGCAATGAAAGGCTACTTTTCCTGGATTCCTTTTGGAATTTTTTTATTGAAAACATGTCTATTCACAGACACACACACAAATAAGCCTGAATGTGTGTGCTCGCATGCTTGCATACATACTCACACAAGTAGTTTTCAGGGGATCAGGTGGATTTTTGTTAGCCTGCTTCCAAAGATTAATGTGGCCAGGTGTGTTATTGTGTGAGCACGCTCTCACACGTGTGCTCTGTATGCCTTTTTGTGTGTGTTCTCACTTTTGTCACTTCACAGTTACAACTTGCCAACCTCCCCCGCTATCTGCAGTCCACCAGTTTCCTCTCTCTCTCTCTCTCTGTCTGCCTCTCTCCTCTCCGTTCCCATCTCCCTCTCTCTCTCTCTCCGATGAACAGATTGAACTTCTTAATGAGCTGTTTTTATGGGCTCCTAATGCTCATCCACAGCTCTCCATATGCTCTTTCCCTTGCATCCGTCCATCTCTCCGTCTCCCTCGACTCATCCATCCACCCCCACCCCCCCACTCTTTTCTGCCCAGCCTTGCTACTGCAACAATATTTATATCTACAGGCACTAAAGTATACGCCTGTGAACACATTTACAGTCACCTGTGCAATACCCCGGTGTGCACGCCCTGTTAAACGATACACACGTGGTAATTTGCGCGCTTATTTTTGAATACAGTTAAAATTTTCTTTACGGTGATGCGATTAAAAGGCACCAATTTATATTTTTAATATGTTTATTTAACTTTAAATTTGAAACAATGCAGGAATATTATTTACTGACTAGATTTCTTTTGGAAGGAAGAAATAGCCTGTTGTGTATGATTATGCTGTATGCCACAGATGGAATTAATATTCTGGAAATGCACTAAAATGTAATGTGCACAGAGGCATTGCTATTAGAGTACGATCATCAGTAATACTGTACTCTCAGACGATATTTAAATACTGGCTTTTTGAGCATACACAGTATCTAAGGCTATACTCTAATTTTCCTGGTCTGTTTTCTGCAGGCGATGGTATTAATCAGAATGCATTGATAGTGCATTGTTGTCTGTAATTAAGAATTCTCATTCAAATTCCAATATTCTGACACAGGCTCCAATAAGTGCAGAGCAGGGTAAGCAGAAACCAGAGGTGCTTAGCCAGCCATATTGGTGCTGGAGCCTCATCTGTATGTGTTATCAGCCCATCTCCCTAGGCACACACACGCTCACGCAGAGACACACACACACACACACATACACCACACGCACGTACACACAAAGCACGCTCACACGTTCACACTGGATCCAGAATCGTGCACAAACACAGACACACGCATTCACACAAAGACTGCGTTTTCACACTGAATACAGATGCCTACTCCCCCCCCACCTTCCGCATATTCCCTCTCACATTTATACGCGCACCTTTTCTACTAAGCTCACTCCCCTATGCACCAGACGCCCTGCAAATGTGCAGGTATTACAGAAAAAGTCTGCATAGCCGAGTGTTTGGGGAAAAGAGAGGTGAGAATTATTAATATCACATTCAGCATTTTTGTCCCTCAGCAAATATAAAATGTACATTTCCGTCTCCCCTGCCTGTATTAAAAATTCTGACCCCCGGGGATTTTATTTCACAAAACAATACATACATTGTAGTCTGCAGCTCCCACATCAGATATATGTTCACAAACTCCAGTGCAAAAAAAACCCAGTTCTGTATGGGTCTGTGCATGTCTAATAGACTTTGCTGCAGGCTTGTTAGCCTCTGTTATTCTGATTAGAGAAGAGTGTAAAGCCAAACTCTAGATTTATAGTCTGATCTTATGGTTTGTTCATATCGCAGCTCTATCACCTCAAATTTGTTTTACTGGGGCAGCAAATGAGCTACATTCTTGAACATGCACTTACACACACCATTGGTCTGGATAGATTTTTTCTGTGCCAGACAGAGAGGAAGATAGCTTTTCCCCCCCTTTTTTTACGGCGCTGTGTGTTTCTGGATGGAACGTCTCAGTGCTTGTCCATTAGAGCAAGCAACATTGAGTCATTACCAAAGTCCGTGACAGCAAACGGATGTAATGATTTGGCTGGGGTGGGGGGAGTTGAAGTGATGTGGAGACTCGTACAAACACAGGCACACACTTTGTACTTACACACCCGAGCAAGCGTGGAAATAACTTTATAAGTTTGGAATCAAAAACACACAAATCGGAGGGCTTCATACACATTCAGTGACACATCTATTCATGCTTTTCATTACGGCACAGCTGTCTTCCGTCTTTTTTCCCTGCGTATGTGTGCCTGGGTGTAGCCAGGTCTACTTTTCCCATCTCATGTTCTCCTCAGTTCTGGCCCATTAAGAGCAGAAGCCAGGAGCTGAGCTGTCCAACGGAGCACATCATGAGACCCGGTGGCGCACTGGCAGACGCTTCCCGTACATACATTTGCACATGACACTATTGCCTTGCGTTAGCTCAGCTTGTGTCTGTGGAGTAATGCAGGGGCGCATGGGGATGCAGGCATCCTCAAAGGGATTTATGCATGAGCTCAAACAATAGAGGGTAAAAAAAAGTTTCATCCCAGGAGCTGGTAAATGTATAAGCTCTACCCACAAATTCCAGCTATCCTCTAAGAATTCCAACCCAAATCAAGATTTATTAAACACTTAAAATGATGAAATAGTAATATTTGAGAGTGATGTTCTGGTTTTATGAGTCACCCACCTGTCTGGTGTCCTCCTTTTGCCGTTCTCATTCACATCCAGCAAGAGCTCTGAGGAGTCTACTGGGGAGGTGGTGCTGGTGTCCAGGAGTAGCTGCTCATGCTGGGCCAGGTACTGAGCCGGGTTCTGCTTGGCCAGCCTGGCACAGTGCAGCAGCTCCCTCTGAAGGAGCGGCAGGTTGGCCTGCGGGAGGAAACAACACTTGATTATTACGGGAAATTCACAAGAATGCTGATGACTGTTTCCTGAGAGCTCAAAGGAGGTACAAGAATGTGAGGAATGCGTGCCTTTCAGCCTCACAACATTTATAAAGACATTTTCAGGTAAGTCTCCTTTGGTGAACAATCATTGAAACACAATATTGAAACTTTGGAGGTGCAAAAAGTGATAAAAATGTACTAAAAGTAATAAAAGTGGCACTTATGACTTACAGAAACACTATGCTCTGCTCTGAGTGCTTTACGTTGTAACAAAGGTAAATGTAATCATATTAATGCTCAGGAAATGTAGACAACATACAGTCCTACCACCCGACATGTTACCATCCCACACAAAGAACTGAATCACACATAAAAGCCAATGTCTTATAAGATTTTTATTCCAAATACCACTTTATTGTAAGAAGAGATCCATGTCTCCCATACCATCTCACCCCTCTTTGCTCATTATTCCTGAACCACCGCAGCTTTCTGAGACCCAGAGTGCATTAGCGGCCGTAAAGTCTCTCTGTGGCATAAAATTTTAAAAAACACAGCAGCTATTTTCAAACTCTTTGGCATACTGTAACAAGGGGGTCTACTTTCTTGTGTGGAGTTACGGGGCCATGCAGGTATGCGAACATCGACTTCAAAGACATCTGATGGCGTGCATTATGAGGCAAGAAGATGAAAGTGTTGCGTCAAGCAGGCTTAGAATGAGAGTGGGGGCTATTTTGGCGAGGCACATCACAAGAGCCTTTGGAGAGGCCATCTTTGCAAGTTTTAGGTCCGTTAATCTTTGCTTTGTCCTCACTATCATAATCTCTCTCGCAAGTCTCCTGCTTCTTTTGTGGTTCCTTTCCTTTTTGTTTTTTTTTGTTGTAATCTTCCTCACAGTCTTCACTCCTTTGTTCTTCTGTTATTGTTTTATTTATATTTTGATATTGCTAGGGATGATGCAATGATCGGGGACCATTCTTAATTTCGTTGTTCTCATGACAATGACAATAAAGTTTCTGATTCTGATTCCTGCAGCTGCACACAGAAGTAACACTACCTGAACTGGGCCATGTTTTGTTTAGTAGTATTAATGTTGTAATCACATGAAAATCTCTCTCTAGTAATTGGCTGCAGTAAGAGAAATGCCAGCCGCTGGCCTTCGCTTTACCTGCCCGAGTTAATGGTCCGTTAATAGTTTATGATCATAATTACCCTCTGGAAAAAGGAAAAAAAAGAGAGAGAGAGCATAAAATAAATTGCTTTGACCCTGGTGAACTCATCTTATATTAATTAGAGGTCATCCTAATTGCCAGAGGAGATGTGGGATACATTAACAAAAAGACTGAGTCAAGAAATGCAGACCACTGAAGAGACTGGATCATTTTTCATATGATAAAGTGCGGCGATTTGCTTCCGCATACTTATGTTAACCAACATCTGCACTTGTACCAAAAAAAAGGGGGGGAAAGGCACATTTCAAGTAATGTTCAGCAGCCACAGCTAAATTCTACTTGGGGTGATTTATTGTTCAAATACTGCTTTTGTCATTTTGTCAAACGGTGCCAAAAAACAATTCAGAATATGCCACATTTAGGATGTGCTGCACTTCATCAACTTTCTGTTCTCTCTGTATAATTTGCAGTTGGAAGAGAAAGGTGACTTCGTTTTTTGCATGTCTATTTTGCCCTATTTCAATTATTTTCTATCACAACAGACTCTCTCCTTCTCCTTCACTCTCTCACACACACACACACACACACACACACACACACACACACACACACACACACACACACACACACACACACACACACACACACACACACACACACACACACACACAGCTGTATGTGTTTATTCCCCCGTCTCGCAGCACTACTCACACTTGAATCTGACGCAAGAAAAAGGGCGAACTTTAAAAAATGGCACAACTTTAAGTGGAAGGCTGAGACGCATTCATATCTTTTAAGAATCGTGTGGCCCGCATCTCGCCAGCACATCACGTCACAGCCATTGTGTGGTTTATGATTGCCTCCTTCCAGTAAAGAATCCCAACCAATTTGCGGTTTAGCATTAAGAGAAAAGGAAAAAAGAGTTGAGTGAATTCGAGAGGGGGTGGGTAGTTGGTGGGATTGACTCGGTATAACATTAGCGTAATGAAAAACCTTGAGCCCTGACATGCATTGTTGCAGCTGTGCTTCGACGCACCTATAAAAGCTCCCCCACACCTCCAGTTGCTCTCTGCTACCATATGGTAGCTGGCATTAAAGGCCCCGCAGTGGGAAGACACTAAAATTAGACTGGGGAGAAAGAGAGGGGCTGAGAAGGAGCGATGGAGGAAAAAAAAAAGAGAGTTGCATCTTTGATTCCGCAGCCATCCCAGTGATACAATAACCATCTGGCGAGGAGAGGAAAAGGGAAGGAGGGACTGGAGGATGGATGGATGGAGAACAGTAGATAAACAGAGAAACGAAAGGGATAAGGACAGAAGGAGGCAGAGGGAGAAAAAAAATCTTTCACAAGAAGCGAAAGAAAATGAAGAAAACTTAAGGGCAAGGGAGTGATGTAGGAAAGAGAGGGGGTGGATACAAAGCTCCTGTTTGTATCGTTAACAAAGAGTAATGGCAGTTCTAGTGGGACCAATTTCTGCTGCCCATAACCACGCTGACCCTTGGTGGATAACATAAACTTGTGAATGTCAGTTGACACATGCACACATCTGCAAATGCAGATGTGAGTGCACCATGTAAAGTGAGAGGCTATTGTGTTGGGAAAAGATGCCGCCTGTGTTTTCAAAAGTAACATTTACCCATCTGTCACTCAGAATCTCTATTAATTCAAGTTTTTTTTTTCTTTTTTTAGATATATCTAACCTTTATAAGGCAGAATCTGTAGAGAAATTACCAGATTTTTGGTACCGCAACCTATGGTCTGATGATGATTTAGTTTTTTATTTGCTTTTTAAAAAAAAAACTGAATAGAAAAAGCTGATTTGCATTCATAAACAATGCCCAGACGGGAAGTTTTGATCCGGATATCCGCTGGCTACATTGGAAGCACTGAAATATTCACCATTGTCCCCAGAGATTAGTCATGAGACAATAGCGGATGGGTTCCCAGATTGCTCAGTTACAAATAGCAGAGAGTCCATAAGAAAGACTGATGCAAATCAAGAAGAAGACTGGAGAAGAAAACAGGAAAAAAATGGAGCTTTTTACCTTTACAGAGGTGTGCAAAAGAACAAAAAATGAGTGATGCGTTAAATATTACACCCGTCGCTGCTCTCCATCTTTCAGTAGCTCACTGATATTGATCTCCACTTCACCTGGACCCATTACATGGTCTAACCTTCTGCTGCTCAGTATAAACCTCAGTCTCATTTGTCATCCGTGACTATCATAACAAATCACGCTACTGCCCCCAGTCTCAGCCCCTAGTTTAGCCTTCAGAATATGCACCAAAAAGCACTACATGCACCTATCTCACACAAACCACACATTAAATAAACATTATTCCCTTTGTGGATACAAATAGAAATAATTTCATCTCCTTCACTTTTATCTTCCACACTGTGATAGATATGAGAGATATGCTGTTGTGACTGAGGGAAGGGCACAGATGCTTAAGAAAGTGTTCTTTCCTCTAGTAACATACCATGTTAATGGTTGAAATGCAGCTTAGTGGGAATAAGGGAAATAATGACAAAAACAAGCCAAAGACCAATATGAAGATGAGGAGGACATAAATAGATACGTTGTCCTTGGGGATAAAACCACAGTCATTCTGTTTCAGTATATTCACTGTGTTTATCTTTAAAAAACAACAACTTCTTTCCATCCAAACACTCTTATAAGAAAAAATTCTGCCTTGTGTCAGCGTTTTGCACTATATAGACAGACTGAGCAAAAGAAAAGAAGAAAACCCTGAAAGCTTCTCGTCAACAGCAGAGAAAGTGAGTAAGAAGCAAGAAATAAACAAGTGAGGGATGGATGAAAGACGGGATTAAAGTGCAAAAAAGAAGAGAGACTCAAAAAAGAAAGAAAAGAAAAAAAAAGAGCAACAACAGGGATAAATATCATGAACATAAGTATGCACATCTGGAATCTGTGCCGGCTAAATGCTTTCCAGATTTCATTGATCAAACAAACAGGCGGGCAACCTTCTTGTTGTAAACGTGTACTGAAATGCCTCTACCTTCAGAAAGGGTATGACAAAAGGTCGCAGAGGGAAGTTGGTGGCTTCTTGCAGCTTGGAGTGAAATTCTTCGATGGTCAGAGTGGAATTCTGGAGAAGAGAGAGACACAAAAAACAAACACATGAATCCATGTGGAAGGCATTAAGTGATAATATTACTTATTGGAAGCTAAGCTATATCCTGGCCTGGACTGAGCATTTTGGGTTTTGTAATAGGAAGCATATGGGCAGGCCACAGCGAAAAAGAGCCACAGAAAACAAAGGCACACATCTCCTTCCATCAGAAACAAACGCACATACAGGAGTCACATCATCCAAACACATCCCGCACGAAGGACAAATGTGTCTGATTAAAAAGGCTTTTGTACGAACGCTGATGGAGTTTATCATACGTGAGATACAGGCTCATTTAAAAACAGTTATCTCTGTATTTATTTAATCATTTAAGTATAGTTGCTTGTGGTTTTCCACTCTATTTTCACATTACCACATGTCCGCTTGTGAATTATAATCAGAAGCTGAAACACAATGAGGATTTTCTATATCTGGAAGACATCGGGGACATGGATAATAATGCACTGCATTTAATAATTTATGCTAATCAAACTAATCATGGGGTATTCACACAACTTTTCTGTTGTACATGTGTGCATGGCAAGCATTCTTTTCTGGATCAATGTTTTATCATTTATGTACAACTCTCTCTCTTTTTTTTACTGATCACAGAGAAGAATAACCAAAATACATTTCAGCAGCAGGAGATTGTGAAGAAAAACAGTGTGTGCATGTGTGTGCACTTTTATTGAGCATGTGTGCTTTTTTTTCCTGTAATAGTGCAAATGTGGAGATGGTTTAAGTGTCTGAAGCAGTGGGGGGGTCGGTCAAAAAGTGGGTTACGCATTGCAACCTGTCAACTTTAGCACCCAAATAAAGTCTAGTTGCTGAAAACTACATCAGTGTCTGACAAGACAGTGTCACTATTTTTAATTTTCAGCATGAGGTATTCCCAGAATACAAAGGAAGAGGTAAAAAAAAGCAGAGATGGAAAAAGGTGTGCTTGCACATGGCAGAGGAATCTTCAATAAAAAAAAAACCCAAAAAATAAATGGGGGGAGGAGAGAAAAATCAAGCAACACAGAGAGCATAAAAAAAAGCTGCAGATATTATTTTTCCTCCCAACACTCTCAGCGTTATTTCCCAGACCTGAATTTTGTTACATTCAGTCTTACATCTGTTCGCCCAGATTGCGTAGGGGCTGTTCTTGACAGCTAGTGAAACCTCCCGAGTCTCCCTCTCTCCCTCTCCCAAGCACACAACCAGCTAATTAACGGTGTCACTCTTTTCAGCGAGGCAGGGGGAGGGACAGAGAGACAGTGAGCGGGAGAGGAAGACGGGGGGTGTATGGCGGGGAGGTATGCAAACCAAAAGGACACAGGAGAGGCATGTGCGTATGCAGACGGTGAGAAAAATAAACATAGTGAAGCCAAAAGGAGGTTATGCTCTATGTGGCTAATTAAAAAAATTCCTCCCTCCTTCTCCTCCGCCTCCTCCTCTTTTCTGCACAACATTCAATCATTATTTCTGTATTCCCCTGCTCATTAAGCTCAAAATTTCTCAGATCACAAAGATGTGTGGTAAATCTCCAGATTTGCACATTGTATTTTACACCAAATCCTTTCCCTGATATATCCTTAGCATAACTGTGTCAACTAAACTGGGAAACACATCTGTCTTATCAAATGTACTCGATGTATATTTTGCAGAAATGCCAATATTAACATTCGTGGTACCAATGTGAATTTCCAGTAAAGAATGTGCTGTACTTAAAACCTTCATATTTTTCAATCTTTTCCTACATTTTTCTCATAATTGACGAACTCAGACAAATTCTGATTTACATGTTGAATATCAAATGCTGTTTTATTCCCTCTATTTGCTGGATCTTAATTAGGGTTAGAAGTGTGATTAGCAGTAATGCTTTAATTTGAGCATCCTCTTAAAGCCACAGTCATCACTTGATTGCAATTACATCTATTCATTAGCTACATAAATAACAGTTTTAATATGCAACTGGGTGAGTTATGTTAGGTTGTCAGACACCTGCACACCCTTAGTGACAACATTAGTTTGATGCTGGAATGGGAAGTCTAATCCATATCGCCGTCGTTTCCACGTTGTTACATTTCAGTTGAAATCACAGCAGTGTAGTTAAATTCATTGTCGATCAGCTGTATAAAGATGGATGCTGCCAGCCTCATGTCACTGCTGTATTTTCTCTGTTTGCCAGGCATTGTGTGATCCTCAAGAATGAGTTTTAACGTCACCGATCGATATCAGTTTTGAAGGCAGAAACTCTACAAAGGTTTTGAGCCAACGCTCATCTGCTGGAGATATTTTTTTTAAGGCCTGCCACTTCTTCTTTTGTTCTTTTACTTGTTCAAAATCTTCCAAGATACACTAATATGCCTCTGAGAGTCATCTTGTTGTTGAAAACATGCTATTTAAACCTGTCAAACTGTGTTATCATTGGCATCAGAAATTCAAGATTTTCTTGAAAGGATGCTAGTAACAAAGTGCCTAAAGATATAATTTAAAATGTGTTCTTCACTAAGTTGTTTATGTTTGATTGAAGGACTTACTACTGCCCAAGACCACTTTAAAAAATTACAAGAAAGTCTGACTTCTTGGAATCAAAATATAAGGAAATAAAGATTCACTCAAGATTGTTGCACAATACTGTATTTACACATATTAACACATTTTAACAGCACCAAGCAGTTACTTCCTCTCTAAGAACACTGATCCAGCTCACAGACACCAAAGGTTCTTACCACTAATCCCAGCACCAACGTGCGGACTCTTTCGCCAATTTCAGGTGAGATGTCGTTCCCAAACTGCTGTAGAGTAGTGAGGAAGCGCTTGAGCTTGCTGAGCTGTCGGGCACCACAGGCTGGAGGCAGCTGTTGGTTGGCCAGAGACGATGAGGAGGATGAGCTAGGACCATTGCTGTAACCATTTGGGGGAGATGGAGCGCCGTTGAGCGCCGTTGGGGAGTGGCTACTGCCGTTGGTTACTGTGTGAGATAAGGACATAGAGAATAATGTGAGCAACAGACAGGAAAGCACGGCATTTGCTAATTGCATTTTCTTGACGTCATTTCTTATTATTTTTGTAAATTTTATTTCTGATAAAATCACATTACTGTTAAAGTAACACTGGATTTCCTCCCGCTACGTACAAATCATGGAGGAAACAACAGCTTTGTGATTTCCAGTGATTTCAAACGATGCGCATTCCCCTAAAATCATCCGCAAGCGTCCGCATTTGTTTCCAATTAGTGCGCCTCCTTTGAACCTTCACGACATCCTCCCATAAAAACATATTTCTGTATTTGGAGACACGTTGCCTCTCTCTACCTCCGTCTCCCTTTTCTGTTCTTCCCGAAGCTCTAAACATGCCGGTGACAGTGAGACCCCCCCCTGTGCTCCACAGCGCGGAAGCTATACGTGTCTGTGTGTGTGTTGGGGGAGTTGCTGTACAAAGAGATACAAGGCAGCATAAAGCTCTCTCTCTAATGAGATTAGGTTGTGACTAGCGATCCACTCACTCCCCCTCTGGCCGCCGTCCAAACCCACCACTGTAAAGAGAGGAGAGAGACGAGATGCTCAAACTGCATCTGGTAACAATTACGTCGGATGGAAATCAAAGCATACTGCTTTGTTAAAACCTTTGGCATGTGTAATGAGAGAGTTGGGCCTTTCCTCCCTCATTGCACGGAAGCCCCAATGTTAATTGTGGTGTGTGAGCGTTTGCAGCAGAGAGAGAGAGCGAAACAGACAGACAGATGCAAAGGGAGAGAGAGAAAGTAAATAACATAAATGAAAAAAGGGGTATGTGATTAAAAATGAACAAAATAATTCAGCCGTTGCAAAGTACCAGCAGTACCAATGCAGACTCAAGTGCTCTGAGCACACAGGGCCTCTGATTCTTTGATTCTAGTGCTCTTCATGCAAGTGGTTAAGTATGCTCTTCTGAGTGAATACTAGGGTGTAATTTGCTCGTCACAAGCTATGTGCGTGTCATGGCATTGCTCCAACAGTTTGTAAGCATGGGTGTTAATGAACTTGTTGGGAAAGAATTGAAAAGGCTCAATGCAACTTGATAAGAGGGTCTCACGAGTCCCACACGTCCACCATGATAACTCGCATGCTGGAACTGCGTTGATATGTATGAGCTTCTGCAAATCTACTGTCAATCACCATTTTTAGAGTGCAATTTTTATATGATTGTTATACCTCCAACCATACACCCAGCCGGGACATGACTGAGCTGTGACATTAGTGTAAAATATTAACTGTGTTAAGATTATTTGCTTTGTTTTTTTCTTTGTGATCTTTGAGCAATGCTGGGAACATTTATAGGAAGGTAATTTTCTGACCTCCTTCCTACTCATCAGCAGGCTGTTGCTGGTTGGCCATTAATAGCAAAAGTAGTCACATTATTTCTCTCACTGTAACACTGGACCATATTTGCAGCATGGTCACGGTCTGCAATAAAAGTAGGTTTTCTTATATCAGCAATCAGCAATAAACACGTCCTCTTTGCTTACTCACATGTAGTTGGTGTGTAGGAGCTGTTACGGGGTGCTCCTTGTGTACTGGGTGGGGGTGGCATGGTAGGGGGGGTCAACCTGGACTGTGTCTTGACGTCCGCAGGTGAGTCGGGCATGATGGAGCGCTTCCCAGTGCGATCTGAGCAAAGACAAAGAAGACAGAAAATATTAAAGCAAAATACCGTGAAGTAGAAACGAGCAGCATTTTTGTCGCCTCGCATTCTGTGCCAGGTGGGATACAGTACGGATACAAGCGGCAAAAGTGGCTTCCTCAGTTGGGTATCTGGGTTCTCTCTCAAAGATAGGATGATGAGTTCAGTTGTTTGGGAGAGGCTCAGAGTAGAACTGCTACTCTGACACATTGAAGAGAGTCACTTGACGTGGCTTGAGCATGTAACTAGGATGCCTCCTGAGCACCTCCTAAATTTGCTTTTCCTAATGTGTGCTATCGAGCAGTCCCTGGGGCAGATCAAGGACACACTGGAGAGATTAAATCTCTCAGCTGGCTTGTGAACGACTTAGTGTCCAACCTCTTCAATCCATGAACAGCTGGTGAAGATGGCAGGAGGGATGGAGATCTGTGTGCCTCTGCTTTGGCTGCTTCTCCCCGTGACAGAAGATAGGTGGATCATAAAAGGTATTTATATATAAATGATATAAAGAGAAGAGCCAAAAAAGCCACCAACTTTTCTTTGGCCAAGCTCATTTAATACATTTTTGAGGACGCCATTAATGCTGAACAGGTTTTTGAAGCAATTTATGCTGCCATCCAGATGGCACTGATGTGATGACATGTCAGGAAGACAATGATAAACCAGATTCTAGCTTTATTACAACAGCATTGGTTTGCCTTGCAGTTCAGTTGTGTCACCAGATAAAAAGATTTGGCGCAATATGGAAAAATACAACAAATTAGCTCTCAAACTTACAAGCAGATGAAATCGCACACCAAGCGAGAACGGGAAAATATTTTGATTCCCAAACTATGGCAGTTCCCGATCGCTTATCGTGTTGTTAAAAGAAGAGGTGATGCAACACGGTCGTAAACAGGAGCCCATCATTTTTTTTTAATGAGCATTTATTTTTCCAAATCTTCACAGTTAGAACATATGCTCTTGATAAGCTGTTGCTATTCAAAAAGAGCTGAATTATTCTCGTTGATTAATGGAAATCGTGCAAATGTATGCCTACAAAAACGACACAAATGCACGTACAGTACAAAGGGCAGCAGAATTTATTTTGATGACAAAATGTTTGTGAGGAGCCCCAGAGAGACTCGATGTGGAAAGAGATGGCTCCCCTCATCTTACGCATTTGGCACACAGTGTCTGACTTTGAAATGAGAAATGAGAGTGAGCAAGCAGAGACACACAGACAGACACCTGAGAGAGAAGCATAAATCTGCAGTGAGTCCGGGTCTCATTCCACCACCATCTGTGCCATCCTGCAGCCCACACCCCTTCCCCGTCCCAGCTAATGACTGCAGTGCTCATTACACTCAAACTAATACACATACTCACTCTCACACTGCCTTAATGCTTGAATCTCTGGATAGTATATTCACATCTGTTTGAGACAGCATCACAGCAGACAACCAGATAGCCTATAAACTAATTAGACATTAAATAAAACAGTCAAACAAAACACTAAAGACGACAGTTTTTTTTAAGCAAAACATTTTCTCGGACATGACCGTTTCCACTTAATAAATTTGCTTTGTGCTCACCAGTTAAATGACCATATAAAATGTGCAAGACAAGATATACAACTTCTCTCTGCAACAGCAGTAACAAGCCTATCACAAAGTGAACAGACTCTTATCAAATGTATCTGTGGCACAGTGTGAAAAGGAGGAAGGAGGAGCTGCAAGAGAAAGTAAAGTATTATCTATGACATTGGGAACTTTGCTGTAACCAGTGTGAATAGATCTGATTTGACTCCAAAATGCATCACAGTGTGGTAAAAGTGCAAAGATATTGTGCATGTTCCCCCCCCGGGTGTTTCCCATCATTCATTTGACCAAAATCCCAAAATGTGTTTGTGAGTACGTTTTTAATGCGTATGTTGTTACACCATCTTATATTTTCACTTCTGTTCCTCTGGAAATTTTTAAAGCATTTGTGCATTCAACTAAGTAAAGCATATACTACATACGCCACAGAACACAAATAGTAAACGTTGGCCTTGGTGCTTTCTGATTGCTTGGATCCACAGTGCCATAATGTTACGTTTAGGTAAAAAGAAGGAGAAATACTGCCGTGAGAGAGACAGAGGAGCCTAAGCCTGTTAGCCAGGCCCAAATCTCAAAAGCACTGCAGCCAAAGTGCACTGTGACGAAGTATGTGTGAAGTATTTTAGTCACGCCAGCTTGACTTTAGAAGACAGGCGAGTGAGAGATGGAGATGTCACCAAAATTCTAAAAAGTGCTCCAAATCTCTGCCTGCGATTGAACGTTTAGGGCTTCTTTATTTATTCAACATGTTTGGAAAGTAAGCCGAAGGAATTTCAGGTAGCTCGATAAAAGAATCAATGCTGTAACAAGACATACAACATGTCGGCGCGAATCATCATGACCAGCAGCCTGTTCAAGAACAACGATTAGCTTCTCCAGGCTTTCACATACAAAGAAACAAAGGTTTATTTTAATTTAATTAAGCTGTAGCTGCTAGGGTAATTGTGTGTAATCACAAAGAAATAATCATAAGTCATTTTTGCCCAAGATATTCAAAACTGTAAAGGATTTTCCAGTAATCCCTAAGATTCTTACACTCAGATGATCAAAAAAGAGGAAAGGAGGGATAAAGACAGCACTCCTGCCTTCTAACTGTCCTATCATTGTCAACTGAAGAGTACCTGGGAGGATTGAATACATTTGTCTCACACCACACTGGCACATATTAGAGACCGTGTGACTCTTATGGATGCAGGAAGGCAACTAAAAGCCAGATGACCTTGAGCCTAAAATGCTTTTAGGGTCACATTCAGTTACACCATCAATGCAGAACACAGAGATGTAAGATTACTACTGACTTAGCTTTAACTTGGTGATGGAGAGCTTGCTTGGAATTTAGAGGAAAAGGTTGCACATTGCACAGCAGAGCACTATGATTGGATACAAAGTGCATATTAGTGGGAAAAATTTGATTAGCTAAGCAGAGAACAGAGGAAGGGAGGTTAAAGAAAAGTCAATATGAAAAGAAAAGTATAGCGAGCAGAGAGACTATTGAACCCTTTCTACTTACTGTCCTTTACATTGACTCTCCTGCTTCCACTGTCTTTCTACCTCTTTCCTTGCGCACCCACACAAACAACCTTTCCTGCCCAGACTGTGAAAGCTTTACTGCTCCAATTTCACCATAATATGAAAAAATCTGGACTATTTATTTTATAAACTCAAGACATAGCTAGTGGAAACGTATAGTCTTACCTCTGGCTGCCAGCTATCATATCCTCTATACTTTCCTAAAATATGATCTACGAAAATACAAGGTCATTAAAAAAGATGGCTCGGTGACAGGACCCAAGGTAATTCATAATTTTCCAGTCAAACAAAAAGGCCCTGCATGTATATACTTAACAAGCATAAATTAAATAAAGCCGCTATATCACACATGGTTGTGCTTATTCTGTTTCAATGGCTCGTGCTTTCCAAAGGTCTGTATGGTGCTTTTTTTCTATAATTGTGTGATAATTTCTGGCTCAGTTCACTTCATCTATAAGTTCTGTATAGAAAGGCTGCAAATCAGGAAACTTTGTGATTAGTTAGGAAAATGGATACACAAAATGGCTCGCATCAGCACAACGCTATCTGAAATAGACTTTTAGTAACGCCTTATTAAACAAAATCCATATTATAATATTATGATATAACAGGATGCAGTTTTTCCACCAAGTAGAACAACTAGAATTGGAGCATTTTTACAGCTGCAGCACCATGACTTAAAAAAAGATACAATTTTCAACATTACAAGCCTATAACATGTCTATTTGATGCACAATATGTAATACGTAACTTCAAATCCACGCGGACTCCTGCATGGAACTCTGGGCCCTGCGGTGGTATGAAAAGATGAGTTTGGTTACAGGCTTGTAATTGGAGAATAACACCTGGGTCAATGTCGTGATTGGATGGTAGTCATCAGCTAGAGATGAGGGAAACAAACCCTGAAAGCATTCAAAACTCATCTGCTGTCCCTCAGGTAAAGAAGATGAAGGATGAAGAATGAATTAGTGTGAAACCTTTGCACACACACACACACACACACACACACACACACACACACACACACACACACACACACACACACACACACACACACACACACACGTGTATCCAGGCAATAACAGTTTCTTGCACACACAAACCCCCACACAAAGTTACAGGTATGTGACTTACAAACAGCATCGTCTGTCTCTGGTTTGATTGCAAAGTACATAACCAGAATAACATCAATGGCTTCATACTAACCAACAAAGGCGGCATCCAGCTATTCACTCTACAATTGCTATGCCCCTTGAATCAATGGCAATTCTCCCTACACAAGGTAATTTACCCAGTTTTGGGAAAAAAATACAGATACATCTTAAAACTCTAGCACGTTCCTGAAAACAAGTCAAAGCAAACCTTACACCTGTGTGCTATCCATTTTCATGAGCCAATATGTCACGTATACTGTTAAATTAAAAAAAATATGTATCAGAGCTGAAGGACAATCAGACAGGCTCATTTTATTACATAGCTGAACGATAGGAAGTACTCCCTCCCTCATGCATAATTCAATCCAAAAAGCACCCTTAAACAACCTTGAAAAAGTTGGGCTTCTCAAGTGTAATACACCATGTTAGAAGTTAATGGACAGGCACATGCATTGTCCATTTATTAGGCCTGTTAGTGAATCGCCGGTTACATCATGTAGGGATAACATCAGATCTGTGGCCAGACGACGGTACTCCAGGAGTGGACAGGTATTGATGTGCGGAGCTTTAATGGAAAGGGGGGTGATGAGTGCTTTGACTTTGGCTAACTCACTTTACGGCTTCTCAGAAGTGCTGTTGTCTAGGAATTAATGGATTGAAGAGGATGAGAACAGTTGTTGAAGAGGCACCAATTAGCTATGAAGGCACACAAGAGTCTCTCCA